TTGCTTGTATCATGGAGCTACTAGCCTCATAATGTCCATCAAGATCTTGTTGTTTTAGTTGATACCCTTAGACATGGAGTTCTTCACTCTCTATTTCAAATAAAGTCAGTCCCCTCAGGAACTGCTCCAAAGCTTTTTGTCCTTAACCACAGTTGGAGCTAAGACTCCAAATATAGTCCCAAAAGTTAGATTTCTAATTTAATTACATTCAAACATGGTGTAGTCCATATGCTATCAGTTCTTTGAAAATTTCTGATACTTGCTTTTTGGTTTGTCATTTAATGTGTTTTAATAAATGTGACTTGTGCATTTGAAAAAAACCATGATACTTTTTCAAATGCTACTGAAGAGTTCTTTGTGTGTCTAGTAGGTGAAGCTTTTATTTATAATCAAAGAATAGATGTGCTTTTAGTTTTTTTTTTTATCCACTCATTACTTTTTATTTATCTTATATTTCTATTTTTCTTTTTCTTCTTGTGCTTTTAAATTTATTGAATATCAAGTTATTTCTTCTTATTCCTGTGCTCATCTTAACATCCGTTTTTTTTGTGTGTATCTTTGAAATTTTAAGCATTTTAAGCAGAGTTTAAAGTTCATAGTCCTAACATATGGTGACAGGAGAAGATTTGACTTGGGTGCTGGGTACACAGTGCAATGTACAGGTCTTGTAACATAGAAGCCTACACATGAAACCAGGTGATCATGTTGACCAATTGTCACCCCAATAAATTTAGTAAAAAATAATAAAGTTAATTTTATCATCCTCCTGAGTAATACAGATTTAGAATTTTTGAACTCCAACATCTCTCCCAGCTTGCATGAAAATATTTTACTCTTTTAGCTCTATTTTTTTAAACAACAGAAGTAAAAATTATTATTGCTTTTTGCCATCACTTTTTAAATTTTATCTGTTAATCATACATTTACAGTTTTGTTTTGTTTTTGTCTTAACATTCCTTTCTGAATCTTAGGTCTTTCTGATGGAATAATTTCCTTCTACTTGAAGTATATCTTTTAGACATTTCTTTGTGAGAATATATTGGTAATAAAATACCTCCATTTTTGTTTATCTGAAAATGTTTGAATTTCCTCTCTATTCTTAATGATAGTTTTCCTGTGTATAAAATACCTGTTTAACAGACATTTTCTTATAATATTTCTTGCTGTTATATTCAAATAGTTCTGTTTACTTTGTCTTTCTTTTTACTTGTAAGATTTTGTCATTTGTTTTGTTATGAAACTTATTAGGATGTGCCTGATTATGGCTTTCTTCTGTTTATCTTGATTAGAATTTTTTGATTCCTGAATGTTAAAATTTTTGTTCATCATTAATACTGAAAAATTCTTGGTCATTAAATAATCACATATTTGATTCCCTTATCTTATAATTTTTCTTTTGGAATTCCAATTATGTTATACCTGGACACAACTCCCTTAATTTTTCCTAAGGTTTTTCATATTTTTTTAAATCTTTGCCTCTGCTGTTTTGTTTGTACTTTTTAAAAGATTTTAATTCACTATTTCTCTCTTTACGTTTTTTATTTTAAATATATTTTATTAATTTTTTTACGGAGAAGAAGGGAGAACAATAGTTAGAAATATCAATGAGAGAAACATCGACCAGCTGCCTCCTGCACACACTCCTCTGGCAATGTGGCTGCAACCAAGGTACATGTCCTTGACCAGAATCGAAGCTGGGACCTTTCAGTCTGCAGGCTGGTGGTGCTCTATCCACTTAGTCAAACTAGTTAGGACTCTCTCTTTACTTTCTTGTAGGTTACTATATAAGTCTTCCATTTTGTTTTAATTTCACTTATTGTATTTTTTGTTTCTAGAAATGGCATAATATTCTTAAAGTGTGCCTCATAATTTTTTATCTGTTCCTCACTATTCATATTTTAAATCCTTTTATATTTTTTAATACTATTAACCATACTTATATCCTATCTGAAGACAGTGGGTATGTTCTGCTTCCACTCTACAGTTTTGTTTTCTCATTACTTACTTTGTTATTTCTCTAATTATGAATTCATGTTTCTTGAACTTTATTTGTGGGATATCTTTGAAGCATGGCTGAGTTGTGGTCTTTCAGAAAGGATTTCTGTTCATTTCTACCAGGAGCCTGGAAGCACTAGCAACATGTGTCTGCTTTAAATTGAATTTTTGCCTTGCAGTATTTTGTAGTAGGCTGGTAGTATAAATACTGGTTAAAAGATGGGTGAATTCTGGGTTATGAATTTCAATAAACCCAGAACTAAGACAAGACACAAGTTCGCTTACCAAGTTGCCTTTCTATCTGCCTTTGCAAGGTTGGTTTAAAAAAATATTTTCATTAAGTGATTAGCTTTTTGTGGTCTTGAATTTATTCAGGACCTCTCACTGGAATTGGATCAAAATATGTGTCTTCTATTCCCTGTACCCAGGTCCTTAAAACCAAGCTTTAGGCAACAAGGAGAAACAGAAGACCCAAAAGCAGCCTCTGAGTGCAGTGCTTGCTTACCTTTCTCTATCAGCCCTACGGTCTTTCTCCTGCTTTCCTGTAAGCCCGACCATTCAGTAAAATGGTCTTTAAAATGCTGTATTCTGTCTTTAGGTATTTATGATAGGAAGATAGTTATCTCACTATCTGATGGAAATATATATTCGTTAAGCAAAATCCTAACATTACACTAAAGTGTACTCATGAATTATCAAATGTGAAGAATATTTACATGAGTAAGGCACTAAAATAAAACCTGTGTTTTTATTCTTGTAATGTATGTCAGATTGAATACAACTAACTAAAACTATTATTTCATTGATAGAATTAATGAAATGAAATTTTTGTTTTAGTAGTTTCTGTTAGGTAACATATATTACTTGAAAACCACAGCTAAAAGGTATACAGTATTTACAAGATAGGTGAATATTATAAAGGTGGTGAATTTAGATTCGAATACATTTGAGAGTCATTCTTGTCAGGACTAAAAACAAAAAAATGTACAATACTAGTATTATTGTTTGGCACTTAAATATTTTTGTGTGCTCCTGCAAGAATCAATTGTACTAATAATACTGTATATCTGAATACTGATAGTCACTGATGCTCTGGTAGTCACTGCTGATAGGAAAGAAGGTAAAAGAAATGAGATGTGCCCCATACCTTGGATATATACAATCTATTAGGAGAGATAAACGAAAAGGAGATAATACAGCACATTATGATACACACCATCACTGATACACTTAAGAAGTCTAAGAAGAAATGATATATTCCACTTGGGGAAATCTGAGGAAGGTTCCTAAAATATGGTGCTATTTGAGCCAGTTCTTAAAAGATGAGCAGTGCTTTACCAGGGTGGGGGAAAGGAGAGGGAAGGGCATTTCAGATAAAGAGAATAAATAGCATGTGCAGAGACAGGAGAGATATCAAAACATTGTGTAATGTGATTCCATGGAAGAGAGAGTGAGTTGTGGAGTGGTGGCCATGACAGACGAATGTAGTGTGATAGGTGAAGGGCAGGTTATCCAGAGTATTTTTTTACTCCATACTAAGGTAAAATTGATCTCTCACTAATGGGATGCTGTCTAGTTTAGAAGGTTTCCAATATGTATTTCTGTGTGTCTACTGGCAGAATTCCAGAGGATAGAGAGATCCTGAAGAGAGGAGAGGAGAGCAGAGGAGAGGAGAGGAGAGGAGAGGAGAGGAGAGGAGAGGAGGAGAGGGGAGAGGAGAGGGGAGATCCAACAAAAGGATCTTTAGGAGTGAGTAACAATAAATGTTTGGATGGATTAAATCATTAATTATTTTCCCTGTAAAAAGAATAAAACATTTTTTATGTTGTAAGAGAATGATGTGCTTCCTTCTTTTGCTATTAAAACCAGTACTTTAGGGAATACAAAATTAAGCCCAACTTCTTCATGTTTTAAGGCAAATGTTAATTAATGATCAAGAAGTAAGTAATTTTTTATTTCAGACAATTTTACAAATGACTAATGATTTCTTTGATTTAGTCTCTTTGGTTATATATTAGATATTATCTTTTAGAAACCTGTAATATCACAAAGAAGAAATAATAGCTATCTTTTCAATTATGTTAAATATCCTTCAACCTTGTAGTATAAAATCTTTGAGGTCAAGAAGATTTTTAATGGGATTAAAGTCAAGGCCAAATGTGTCTCTGTTTATTTAAAGTTATCTGAGTAATGTTTTAAAAGGTATATTGACTCTCTGACTATTTTAGAAGATGGTTATTTAGATATAATTCATATCAATTAATAGATTGGTTGACTAATAATTACATAATAGGATACCTAAAAAGGTTAAGAATTTTGCAAAGTAGTACTTCTCTGTGCTGTTGGCAAGATATGAAAATTTATTTGAGCAGGAAGAAGTCAATGAATTTCAATTAAGTCACCTTATATCATTTATGTTGGGGTTAGGGTTAAATATTAAATGCATATTTAGATCCAATTCATCTTCAAAACATGCATTATAACTGGAGTTTAACACTGATAATAAATATTTGGTTTTGACAGGACATCAATCCAAGGAACCCTGAAAAAAGTTAATGTAAATCCTCAATTACTGCATTATAAATATTTTATCTGTAAATAGGAGTTCATAAAATCCATTTAAATAATGAAGTATATAAGATTTATTAACTACTAAGAAATTTGTAGATGGTAACAGTTACACTATACTGATAGGAATTGAGATTAAAATGATTACAGCCAAAGGAATTAATTTTAAGTTAATGATCATTGTAGAGAGCTACTGTTATTGTTAGGACACCTACCAACTAGAATATATGGGTTTGATCCTTTGCACACACAAAAGTTCACAAAAGTACTTTATTCTGTAGTGCTGCTGGTGGATCATGCCCTAAGTTGTTATATAATTCATGTGAACTTTTATGTATACAGATGTCAGATCAAGTACAGGTTTTACTAATGATATATACTATAAACTTAGAACAATTAAAAAGAAAAGAAAGAAAAACAGAGGCCAAGAAATTAAATACAATAAAAAATGAAATATTTATTCTTTTGGCTCAATAATGACGTAGCTCACCATTCTTTTTTAGTAATAGCAATTCCCTGCATGCATTTCATCAATACACTACAAGTAAATAGTTTTGTAAAATGAATTAACATATTTTTGGTTTGTGCAAAAAACTCTAGCATTTCAGATCATTGCACAACTTTGCCACTTTGTGCATGGCTGGAAAGGACACAGTCCAAGTTATATCTCTAATAGCTTTAGTGTAGCAGGAATTAAAAAAATAAGACTAGTCTGCATAAGCAAATACTACAAAAGTTGATTTAAAAAAAAAATCTTCCATGAATAAAGTGTTAGAGGCAACCAGAATTGGTAAAAATGATCTAGGTTTCAGTTTTTGACCAATGTATCTACTATTGGTATGGTAGAAAATATAACAAAGTAATTCACAAAACCCAGTGTCTAACTTTTATTTTAGGAAATTATCCTTTGAAAAGTCTTATGAATTCAAAAGTTTGGAGTTGTGATTAAAAATAAGAAGCAAAAGCAGAAAGCAAAATAAGTTGCCATGTCATCAACCTGAAAATAATTTTCTTATGTACAAATGTGACAAATAAAATTGATTATATTTTTACATTATATTTCAACAAGTGTTGGACATATTTATAGCAAAGTATGAAGTATACAGGTTTTGACAACAGGCAGTATGCAGTGTGTTTCTTTGAGATCTAAAGAGACACTACACAACACTCAAATTAAAAATGCAAAAGTCAAAGTGCTTTTAAATAACTGCAAGCTATTCTGCTTGATATACTAGACAGAGAGCTGGTTGAATTCAGTCTACCACCAACATATCACTTCTTCTAATCAAGACTTATGAAGAATGGATTGAGTAAAATAGAGCAGCATAGGCAATATTAACATGCATTAGTGATAGTCTTTGAACTATTTATGTTTAATGAATGGTACAGGTTATATCCCTGTTGGAAGCTCGCAAAAGACACATATACTGTGGTACATATTTGATTTAATAGAACTTGTTTATCCGGCTGTATATATACTAATATATATATATTTGCCCAAACATGCACCACAGGAAAAAATAACTATTTACATAACAGGGTGTTGAATAAAATGTCAGCTTTGCTAAGAGCAAAAGATGGCAAAACAATACTGCAGCAGAAAGTGGAACAACTATTCTAAAGTGATACTTTAGATAGACTATACTTTTCTAGAACAGATTATTAAATTACTTTTTTTAAAAAGCATTTAACCAAAATTAAATATAGAACTCTGGAACTTGGAATAAAATTTGCACTTGCTGAAACAGAACACTTTGCATAAAAATAATCCTTTAAAATTAGAGGAGACTTTACAGGCACATAACTGTTCAGATATAAACAAACATAGACCAACACTTTCAAAATTAAAATCATCTAGAAAATGGAAGTACCTGAAATTGTTGATAGTACAATTTTGTTTCTGGTTTTGAACTAGAATTTTATCTCTCAGACAAAACACTTTTGTCTGATTATTTGAGAAACTTTTGAGAACACAGGGATCATATACTTTTTTTTTCTCAACTTAAACCTCATTTACAAAAATAGTGACATAGTATTATGAATAAACTATGAATTAGGGACCAGGGAATCCACTAGAACAAATTTTGTAAAAATATGGCAGATATGGAAGTTAAAAATAGAGTGGGTGCTAGTACTGTACTAAAGGTGTTTGGTGTAGTTACAATGATCACTGCACAACTATCCCTATAGTCTAGGTAGCTGTTGAGTTTCTCCTCAGCAGTGGCAGCTGGTAATGAGAACCGCAACCTTTTGTCAATGTTGATACCCTGACTCACAGAGTTGTAGTGACGGAGAGGCCACTGTCTTGTTATAGGCACTGACCATGGGTATTTGTTAAAACAGTCAGTTTGGCATAGACCTCCTCTGGGAGTCCTGTTGACACATAGACTTTACCTTCATAGGCTGTAAACAATTGATCACAAAGATAATTCTTTGTTTTTACTTCTGATTTTCCCTGACCTCTTTCCCTTTGCTTTCTTTTTCTGGTTTGTCTTTCTCAAACTTTTCTTTGTCTGGCTTTGTTACACTATCGTAGGAAGGAGGAGAGGTGGTAGAGGAACTTCCATCTGTTTTTTCTGGGGTGGAGTTCCCATTTAATTTGTCAATAATCATGTCTTCCTTTATAGGTAAGTCAACCCTCCCTTTGATTGCCTCTTTATTATATTTACTTGATACCTTTTTTAACCTTTGCTTTAAAAGATAACATCTGAAATTACGCTGAATAATAGCAGCAGACACCTCCTCTTGTTTGCGTTTCAAAGTGGTGGTGATGGGTTCGTAGGAGACTTTGGATGGGTTCGATGCCATGAACCGGTCTTCCATCTGTATTCGAAGGGCATCCATCTCTCCGCTCTCACCCAAAACACGCTTTGTAAAGGCAAATAAAATGTCGAGGCAGTGGATCCGGTCTCCACTGACCATGGGCAGGTCCATGGCGATGAGCTGGACTTTGTTTGGCTTTGCTACCAGAAGAGGAGGATCCAGGGCAGCTGCAAAGTCGGAGAGCTTGGAGAACTCTATAAACTGGGTGGCATCGGGGTCAAACTTCTCCCAGACCTCATAGAACATCTCAAAGTCATCCTCACTCAGGGGCTCTGCGCTTTCCTCAGTGGCGACACTGAAGTTCTCCAGGATGACAGCGATGTACATGTTCACCACCACCAGAAAGGATATGATGATGTAGCTGACGAAAAAGAAAATCCCCACAGATGGGTTCCCACAGTCTCCCTTCACTGAGCTTCCAGGGTGAATTGCATCAGGGTCACAGTCAGGTGGTGCACTGTTGAGAATAGGTGCCAGCAGCCCGTCCCAGCCAGCAGAGGTGGTGATCTGGAACAGGCAGATCATGCTGTTGCCAAAAGTTTCAAAGTTGAACATGTCATCAATTCCAGCTTCCTTTTTAACATAAGCAAAGTTGGACATCCCAAAGATGGCGTAGATGAACATGACCAGGAAGAGCAGGAGGCCAATGTTAAACAGGGCAGGGAGGGACATCATCAGAGCAAAGAGCAGCGTGCGGATCCCCTTGGCCCCTTTGATCAGACGTAGGATGCGGCCAATCCTGGCAAGACGGATCACTCGGAACAAGGTAGGGGACACAAAATACTTTTCTATCATCTCAGCCAGAAACATGCCTGTGGAAAAATACAGAAAGCCATTCAACGGTGAATATCTTATGCTTACATGAATACTTTACATCTCTGCAAGTTCTATGAAAACAACAAGTTCATTATGAATATAAACCTTTGCTAAATATTTAGACCCACTTCCTAATTTAGCAATTAAAGATTACAGTTTTATACAATTATTATGTAATGTCATAAACCTATATGGATTTTTGCAAAATCCAACCAAGTAAATAATGTCATAGTGATATAGCAATTTAAGTTTATAAACACTATTTCCTATGAACAGGTATCCTCATTATATGAAACATGCTAATTACAAAGGCTTTTTTTCTGAAATTTAGAAATATATTATTTTTTATTTTTTAATATCAATATTTTTCAGTTAGAGGAAAATGAACAAGACTGTTAAACTTCAGATCTACACACATTATAATTCTCATATCTTATTTCCATGTTACACAGCTGTCAGGCCTGGAGGGACCTTCCTCCAATAGACCTCTCTGTAATGAAAGCACCCTTACCTACAATGGAGAGAATCACCACCACAAAGTCAAAAATGTTCCAGCCTATGGTGAAGTAGTAGTATCTGAGGGAGATGAGCTTTAGCACAAACTCTCCAGTGAACAGGATAATGAACACAAGGTTGATCCGGGATAAAACTTGAGTCATATATTTGCTCTGGTCATCAGTTTCTACCATCATGGTGACCATGTTCAGGCAGATGAGGATCATGATGCTGATATCAAAGACTTGTCTGGTTACAAAATCAAAGACCATTCCTTGGAATTTGTTCTAGAAAAAGGGAGGATAGAGAAAGTGAAAATGCATATTATGTAAATAATGGTCCAGTAAAATTACAAAGTTCCACAAGTGGCCATGAGATGTACACCCTTCTTTATAACCCCAAACAATTATGTATGCTTCACTTCTCTTATGATAAAAAAAAAGAGAAAGAAGTGAAAAAAGTGATTTGTGTCCAGCCAATGTGGCTCAGTGGTTGAGCATTGAACCATGAACCAGGAGGGTTCAATTCCTGGTTAGGGTACCTGCCCAGGTTGTGGCTCATATCTCCATGTGGGGCATGCAGGAGGCCACTGATCAATGATTCTCTGTCATCACTGATGTTTCCATCTCTCCCTCTCCCTCTCCCTTCCTCTCTTTTAAAATATATTTTAAAAAAAGAGAAAAAGTCATTTGACAAGAGCAAAACAGAATTGGTTTATTTAGGATCTATGGAAACATAAAGCTGAATAAGGCATAAATTGGTGGCAATTGGCTGATAAGATGTATGTGCTTTGCTTGACTTTATTTTTTTATTTTTTTAAAAATATATTTTATTAATTTTTTACAGAGAGGAAGAGAGAGGGAGAGGGAGTTAGAAATGTCTATGAGAGAGAATCATCGATTAGCTGCCTCTTGCACACCCACTACTGGGGATATGCCCGCAACTAAGGTACATGCCCTTGACTGGAATCGAACCCGGGACCTTTCAGTCCGCAGGCCGACGCTCTATCCACTGAGCCAAACCAGTTTTGGCACTTTGCTTGACTTTAATAACTATGATTATTTTTACCAAAAATAGCGGCAACTAGTAATAAATATTTACAAAGTAAGTTAATGTAGACAGTCTTGTACAATACTCCAATTCATTTATCAATACTTTAGGACTGATAGTATCTTTTTTCAATCTCTCTCTCCCACAAAATATGCCAGTCATTTTCTATTTAATTCTACCTCTTCTAACTGAAGTATTTAAATGACCTTCAGTAAAGCAGGTCATGCCCTTTTGTGTATCCTGGACCTCCTCCCATCTTCTGCCCAGCTCTAACTACTCTTAAACATATGATGAAGTGAAGCATTTTATAGGATTCATAGACCGTATCTACTCCCAGTTCTAGCAATTACAGGCTTTTGACTAGAGGCATGATATTTACCTTCTTTGGGCCTCAGTTTCCTTATTACTTACACATCTGAGAGGATAGATGAGCTAGAGAACAGCTCTGTGAGCATAATGCCTTATTATCATGCCTTCCTATTATTAGGGAGCTCGACAGAGTATGCATTCCAAATATGTCTTTTTTTGTGTGTGTATTTCGTGGAACAAACTATTTTAATGACATCCTTTTCCTTTCTAAAAAGGTTAAGAATATTTTTAATCATAAGAATAAAGAGAACAAACAGCATAGAGGGAGGCCATGGGTGTGGGATGGGAAATCTTAAAAACTCCATCTACTTAAAAGGCCCAGAGGGTATCCAAAAGATCAGAGGAGCAGGATCCTAGTGCATTGCAGTGGGAGCATTATGTCTGCGTGGGATGCAGTTACCTGGAACCCTTTAGTTGGAGGCTTTCAACTGACAAGACTGTGATGAACATTCCCCCTTTTTAAAGAACTTAGTAATTCTTATTGAGCGTCTTATCGGGTGTAGCAGTTGTGAATTGTGTTACACAATATGGACTTCACTATCAGAGCATATTATGTGCTGGTGATATTACACAATATGCTCTGATCCAGAGCACTGCCCAGTTTCATCCTGGAAATCAGGCTTTAGAATGTTAAAGAAGACTAGAGGCCCAGCGCATAACTAAATCATGCGGCTAGGGTCTTAGGCCCGGCCTCCTGCGATCAGGGCCATCTTCTGCCCGCTCGCCAGTCCCCAGGCTGAACGCCAGCCACCTCTGCCACCAGGCTGTCAGGCCTTTGGGATTTACTGCTCATCCCCAGCTGCTCCAGGGCTCAAGCCTGTGGGAAAGCGGGCACTGGAGACTTTGTCTCCATGTGCATGTGTGGACTGGCCGCTGATGGAATGCACTGCCTGCTCGGTCTGCTCACGCGGGCTCTGCCACCACCTCTGCTGCTGCCACTGCCACTGCTGCTGGAGCTTGAGGTGCTGACGGAGGTTGCAGGGCATGCTTGCAACCTTCCTGCCCCGGTGTGAGTGGCCCTGAGCAAGTAGTGCATTTCATCAACAGGTGGCCCGGCACATGCACATGGAGGTGAAGTTGCCTGCGCCCACTTTCTCGCAGGCCTGAGAACCCAAGCAGCCGGGGAAGAGCTCGTGATCCCAACAGCCTGACAACCAGTCCCGTCCTTCCACCACCCACTCTGATTCCCCTGTTCACCATCGCTGATCCGTCAGAGTGGCCTGGCCAGGGGGAGGGACCAAGAGTTCAGCAGTATGGCCCACTTGCCAGTCACCAGTCCCACCCTGCCCCTGCTCACAGGCCAGAGAGGGCAGGGGAGGGACCGAGAAGTGGTCAATGCCACCTCATGGTGACCGGTCATTCTGGTTGTTAGAGCTTTTATATAGATAGATAGATAGATATAGATATAGATATAGATATAGATATAGATATAGATATAGATATAGATATAGATATATAGATATAGATGAGTCATTCTTACTGCAGGCCGAGGTATGGGTTTCTGAGGTTTCTTGGACCCAAGTTTCTTCATTGCATTGTAATATTTTTTTTGTTCCTCTGTCATAAAGATGTCTTGACCTCCAAAGTAAAGACACAGAATAAAATTGGTTACAATCCCAGCATGTGTAGAACAGCATTTTTACAAAAATATTTCTGGGTCTTTAATCCTCTCTCCGTTTTTAAATGGATTATTATCCTGCTTCATACAGATTTTTCTGCTTTTCCCATTTATGTGAAATTCTGAATACTTAAATATTATGCAAACCCTGTAATCACATGAAACTCTGATTAGTACAGGATCTTAATTTGATTATAATATGTTTAGAAGGAAGACCAGAGGTTTGATATATTCTAGTAAAAGAAAAAACATTTTCTTAAACTATTTCACTGTTGACAGTTTTACTTCCTTCAACAATTTTTGAGCACATCTTGTGTGCTAAACAATGTATCTGGTATCAGACTTTCTTTTTTAAAAAAAAAATATATATATTTTATTGATTTTTTACAGAGAGGGAGGGAGAGGGATAGAGAGTTAGAAACATTGATGAGAGAGAAACATCCATCAGCTTCCTCCTGCACACCCCCTATCAGGGATATGCCAGCAACCAAGGTACATGCCCTTGACCGGAATCGAATCTGGGATCTTTCAGTCTGCAGACCGACGCTCTATCCACTGAGCCAAACCGGTTTTGGCTGGTATCAGACTTTTATAGATACCAGATATATAGATATATGATACAAGGACTGCAGGCACTGCAGAGATAACAATAAATTCCAAGACTCAGAAATGGGCTTTGCATAGGAGAGTACGCTTAGCTAGACCTTAAAGTAGGGGTGTCGAACTCAATCAGAGAAGGGGCCAAAATCTAAAATCCAGCCTAAATCGCGGGCCAAATGGTTTACTGAACAGTCATAAACTGTCATTGTGATGGAAACGCAGCGGAGTGCAGTGATGACAGCGCGGTGCGGGCCACATTGCAAGGCCTGGCGGGACGGATTTGGCCCGCGGGCCTTGTGTTTGACACATGTGCCTTAAAGGATAGTTAAGGCTTTGTTGAGTAAAGCAGTCCAGGCAGAGAACATATTCTACATGAAGGTAGAAGAATATGGCTTGTTCAGAAAAGGTCAGAAAATCCATGTAGCTGTGAGTGTAGAAAATGATAGTAGTGTTGATGGTGGGTGGGTAGTAACTGAGGACTAGGGAAGTGGATGTAGAAAATATGTTATGGAGGAAATGAGGCTGGGAAACTGGGTGGAGATCATTACTGAAACACTTCGTAAGCAAGGATAAGGCATTGGAGGTCCACTGCATGTTTTGAAGCAGTGGCCATATTTTTGGGTCAGAAAAACTCTAGTAGCAAATCTGCACAGGATGCACCAGGAGAGGAGCCACTGACTAGAGCTGGATTCTTCTGCAGCTGAACTGACCATACAGTGAACAGGAGAGAGTATACAAATGATCTAAGTCTATCATAACTGTGAGTGTTCATATAGAACAGAGAAAAGCTCAGCATGGAGAAAGCTGAGAGCTGAGGGATACTTATCTTCTTTTTCTGTTGGTTGAAGTTATCTATGATGACACCAATGAACAGATTCAGAGTGAAGAATGACCCAAAGATGATAAAGATGACAAAGTATAAGTACATGTACAGATTTTCTTCGTATACAGGCTGAAGTTTAACCTGAGTAATATTAAAAATATAAAATATTTTAAAACACATTAAATACTTAAACCAAATAACAATTTGATGAGTGTTGTCACTTAATATAGAACTACTTTTGCCTTGCCCTGAAATAGTAGTTTGTGAAAACAATTCTTTTTCAAATTGTTGTGATGAAGGATAAGGGAAGTTTATAATATTTATGGGTGTTCTTGCATCTGTTTTCCCATTGTGGCTTATCCGTATATTATTTAGTGTACGTAACAATGGTAAAAACAGGGCAAACATTTTGAGCCTGTTATTAGTCATATATATTTTTGCAGTATTTTCAATTTGGGTTTGGAAATACTGGCTCTTGGAGGTACGGCTTTAATAACAGAACATCAACTTCTCAGAGGAAAATTCAGCATAAGCGATATGTTCTGAGGAATTATTTTTATTCCTATTTTTAAAATTGAATTTCCTTGAAACTTGCTTGCTTTTATCATGGTATTTTTGGAAGTTGTTTCCCAGGCCCTGGTTGTTTATCATACTCACCAGGGATAGGGAGAGACTTTTGGTAATCTTAATAGTCTCATTTGCTGGATCGATTTTACACCTTCTGATCCAAAAAGTTATATATCTTTTTTTCTTTTTTTTTTTTTTTGGAAGTTAGATATATTTTCATTTTAGATACATAAAATAGACATATATTAATAAAAATTATCTGTATTGAAGTGTATGGTCTTAAAAAGGTCATTTCTACATACAATTGTAAATGATTTGATAACATCTCATATAAAATTCTGGGCCTTTCAGTTAAATTATCACAGATTGTTCACTATAAAATGTCTAGTAGCTATAAATAGTTTTAAGCGGTACTTACATCTCGTGAATCAACAGCTGCATACATAATTTCCATCCAGCCTTTAAATGTGGCCTGTAAACAACATATATTTGAATTCCTCATAAAAGCCTAATCCAAGAATATGCACTTTACCTTATGAAAGCATGATAACTTTTTGTACAATGTTATGGAGTTGAATGAAGAAATGAAACTGAAATAGAACAAGATTTTATTTTGAGTATGGGACTTATTTTCTTTGTTTCTCTTGGAATGTTTTCCTTTTTTTTTTTTAATCTAAAATTTAACTAGATGTTTGATTCAGAAAACCACATCTCCATCTCAAATCCTTTTCATACCAAAAAGTGAGCTCTGTGATTCAAACCTATGACATGTTTAAACACAGGTCAGTCATTTTCATTAAGTAATTATCAATTAGTTAATATACTGTCAATTTAAAATTATTAAATATTACTCATTTTTAAATTCACTCTATAAGTTAGCATTTTTATGTATTAGAATCATATTCTTTAGATGTTGAAATAATTAACTATATGGTTAATGATCCATCCATTTAATTCATTACTCAATATACTATTATAGTATACATTGTTATTTTAATAAATAAAATTGCTCCTTTGGCAATGATTGCTACAAAAACTTAGAAATGCTAATGGCACAGTAGTGCTCGATAATATTATAAGTAAATATAGGAAGCAGAAATATAAAATCACATTAAAACAAACTAAAAGCTGAACACTGGGGAAAATACATGATAAAATAGTTGCAAAACATCTTCTTTACAGTCAAGTCAAGTCAAGATTGTGGTATAGGTGTTATCATCAACTGCTTTTTTTCATGTCAGATGTTAATCATTCAAACAAAGAGCATCAGAGAAGTGAAAATGTTTCAAAACTCACACAGCAGCCACTTACCACTTGCAGCAATGCGAGATATCCAGCACCAACATTGTCAAAGTTTACTTTCACGTTTTTCCACCGAGCTTGCTTGCCAAGAGCCTGGCAGTCACTAAAGTTGTTGACTTCACTAACGTCAAACATGTTACCCGTTGTTGTGTTAACACAGTGGTAGAACTTGCCAGCAAACAAATTCACACCCATGATGCTAAAGATCAGCCAGAAGATAAGACAAACCAAGAGCACGTTCATGATGGAGGGAATTGCGCCAATAAGAGCATTCACAACCACCTAGAAGAAGAAATGAGGATAGGCCAATTTATGAATCATTAAAATGGAAACCATGTCTTTCATTTATTTAATACTAAATGGGTGTGAAAATAAAATAAAAAATCTAGATGGACAAGTTGTTTCTTCTAGTATTTTATAGGACATATTTGATGAAGGAAAAACACATAACTAGAGAGCTAAAGAATTTAAGGAAAACAAAATATATCACAGCATGGAAATAAATAAATAAACCTGATATAGTAAGATGGAATCAGAAAATGTTTGCATGCTGGGGAAAAAGAGAAAAAAGAAAGATACATTATGTACCAACAAAATAAATAGTCATCATTCAGCAATACAGTTTAATTTTCAAGAGTGTTGAAAATGTGATTAAACCTTTTATAAATAAGCAAAGTATTAGTGATGCATTAAATCTGTATCCACAGCACAAGCTAACTTTTCATGAATATAAAAATAGGATTAGGAATTTGTAAAGCCTCTTTTTTTTCACATATTGATACATTCATTTAAAAAATATATTAGAAAATGAGATGAAATTTGTCTCTGGACATAAAAGTACTGAATCTGTCCCCATCATTATTATTCCAACTCTCTTAAATGTTCACTTTGTGGCACATGTCACTTCACCAGGCTGTTCTATTTCATTAAGAAGAAATTAAGTCACCTTTCCTCTAACTAAATTCAGAAGAGATTAAGATCTATTTTGAAATCTCTATCAACAGTATCTTTTCGTAACTAATATCTGGTTTATAGTGGACTATTTTTTAAGCATTTATATTAAGTGAAAGTATTGTTCTATTTGAAAACTAGAGGCTCGGTACACAAAATTCGTGCATGCGGGGGGAGGTCCCCCTCAGTCTGTGCCCTTTTGTAGTCCAGGAGCCCTTGGGGGATGTAGGGCCTAAGCTGTCAGTTGGACATCCTTAGCTTTGCTGCAGAGGCAGGAGCAGCTCCCATCATTACCGCTGTGCTGGCCAGCTGTGAGCCCAGCTTCTGACTGAGTGCCACTCCCCCGTGGGATCGCACTGACCACCAAGGGCAGCTCCTGCACTGAGTGTCTGACCCCAGTGGTCAGTGCACATGATAGTGACTGGTCATTCCGCGGTTCGGTTGATTTGAATGTTACCTTTTATTATATAGGATATTATAAATGTTATTTTAGAAATCAACACCAAAGAATTTTTAATTGACATCAAAACTTGGAATCCAAAACTGTAAAAATGTCATATGCTACTTGAATTTTATTTTCTTTAGAAATTAAGTCAAAAATAATATACTGAAATCAGGGTTTACATTACTAAAATTTGTGTAAAATTACTTGCACAAGTTCTCTTTTCATCAAATAAATGCATTATATATTTTATCATATTTTATAGCTGGAATGTTAATTTTGCCATATGACTGAATTAAAAATGACAGAATATTTTTTTCAGATTAAAGCAAATATATGTTTTTGTTTCATTTAATTGCTATGTCCCCTCAAAAATGAATTATTAACATGAAGCCATACAACCAGATGAGGCTTACATAATGTCAGTAATGGTAAATAAACAAAAACAAACAAACAAACAAACAAAAAAAACTGGTGTGAAAAGAACCTGAAATTGTGTAATTTTATTAATTTTATCTTGTGACTTTCATTACCAACTATCAGCAAAATGAAATTATAATGTAAAACTAAGTGTTTCTTTCCTTGCAACGATCTGAAAGAGTGGTTTAATTTTCCCTCAAGAGTGAATCTCAAAGTCAAGGCTGAAGTGCTTTTAGTATCCAAGCTTCCTTCTAACAAAAAAGCCCTATGGCCTAGAAGAAATTCAATATCCTTGTGCTTTTGTAAACTGGATTAAACAAAGCTGGCCTCTGTGCTAAATAGTATTTTGAGGTTATTGCAAGTGGGTGTGTATACAAGTGTGTACTGTATGTTTAGATGCAAAAATATACACTAAGGAGGAGAGCAGGAGAGGAAAATACAAGTGCTTTAGAAAAAGTGAACCTCATTCAGAATGCTCACTTAAAAGGGAGATCTATAAAGCAAACCTCAGGGGTTGCCTGCAATCTTTAATTATCCTAACCTCATACTTGGTTTTCTTAGGATATATAGATTTTGTCAGAGGCTACAATTTAGTGTTGCTTTCTTGCTTAACAACTATTTTTATTACTGATGTTAATTGAAAAAGTAAAAGCACACAAAAACTATTTTACCTTTCATTCATCACCCGTAATTTTTGAGGAATCAAACTACCAATTGAAGAAAAAAAAAATAACCCTCTTAGGATGAATGTCAGTAGTAAATAGTCATTTCAAAGTGTGTAAGCAAAGCAAAGAAATAAATGGCAGCACGCGGTTTCTGGAAACATCCTTGAACTTTTGTCAGAAGACCTGGATTCTAGTCCTCCTTCTGCCACAAACAATTTTTTGAAGGCCTGTTTCGATTTTAGGAGGCTAGGCTTAGTGATCTCTAAGATTCCTGCTCTGAAAGTTTGTAATTCTATGAAATAAATTTCAAGACAACATGACCTCGCTCTGTATCTAAATCTAACCTACATTTAATTCTGACATGAATCATCAGGGAGCTCTTAGCCTTCTTACCCTCATGCCTTCAAACCGGGATAAAGCTCTCAGAGGTCTTAAAGCTCTTAGTGTCCGGAGGGATTTGATGGCACCAAGTTCTGAGTAGCCGAGTGCAGTGGCGACCAAGCTAACCAGAGAAACCTACAAAAGGAAAAATTATTCATCATTTCACTGAGAAATAAGCTGCTGGCTGAAAAGCATAGCGTATGGCCTAATCTTCAATGGCAACCATATAAAACTTCAGACATATCTTGGCAGCTTCCATCTTCCACATAGTGGGATCATCTCACATGGCCAGCCTCATCTCATACTATTGCTTTCCTTACCAGTGAAACTGGAGTCCTTACTCATTTTTATAAACATTTGGAAACTCCTCTGGTTAGATATTTCACCCATGGAGCCCGCCCCCACCCCTTTTTTTTAACCTCTGCATATTTAGGGCATTCTTCCAAAATGTATACATACACTTTGAATACTTATAATGGTAGTGTTTATTTAGATATATTTCATTTTCAAAATTAAGTTATACATTTTTAGGACACCCTGTAGACCATTACTCATTCAGGATTTGGTGTAAAAGCCATATCCTCCATAGATCTGTGCTTAATATCATTGATTAGAAACCATGTTTTTCTTCTGAATTTTATGTAGTATCTTGGTTATGCATAGTGGAGACATTTGCCATGTAATCAAGTCAATGCATCCATTGGATGACGTAAGGGCATTAGGGTTTAATTTGCTGTGAAAGATGCTATTGGAAATGGATATAAGTGAACCTACCCACAATCTTTTGAGGGCAGATAGAATTGGAGCCACTGTCCCCTCATCGTTTCATTTAGCATACATCTCACAAAATTGGACAGAAAAATAGATGACTTGAAATTAAAATTGACTAGTGGCAGGATAATTTATTGAACTATTCATTTCTGTCTAGTGTTTGCTGCCACAGAAGACTGGAAAGATGGAAAATTTATTAGAGGGCACACAGCCTTCTACATTCTGGGTTCCTTTGCCTCAGGAGGCTTTAACAGCTTCTTTTTATTTCTGGAGCTTCTCACTGAAGACTTCCTCCACTCTCCCAACCTAGTCTTTTGTTTAAAGATAAATGGCTGCAAACTTTTCAAGACCCTAAAGTAAGGAGGTTCTTGCTTTGAAAGGAAAAGAAAATAGTAATGGCTAGAACCCAAACGTACTGGCAGGTTAGGGAGTTGTGGGTTCAAAGGCTAGGAGGTACCACTAACACATAACAACCCGACACTGGACTGAGTGGCTCTGTGTGCTGCTGGAGAAGCTGGGAATTATTGAATTGCCTTTATTTTAATGGGCCTCATGTCATTTTGTGTAATGCAAAAACTCACTTTATTGAGTTAACTATTGTGAAAAACCTTAATATCCTTTAAGGTAATTTTGAAAAACATAGTTTAAAAAATATATATGTATTTTTTATTGATTTCAGAGGGGAAGGGAGAGGGAGAGGGATTAAAACATTAATGATGAGAGAGAATCACCAATTGGCTGCCCCCTGCATGTCCCCTACTGGAGATCAAGCCCACACCCCGGGCACGTGTCCTGACCCTGACTGGGAATTCAACCATGACCTCCTGGTTCATAGGTCAATGTTAAACCACTGAGCCACACCAGCTGGGCTTGAACTATATATTAATAATTTTATATGTATCCATCAACAGATGATTGGATAAGAAAAGGTGAAGTACATTTGCAACATCAATGGACCTTGAGAATATCATGCTAAGTAAAATAAGTCATCAGAAAAAGCAAAGAACCATATGATTTCAACTCATATGTGGTAGATAAAACTGAAACTCATTGATGCAGACAACAGAATGGTGGTTACCAGAGAGAAGGAGACTGGGGAAGGAATAAATATATGGTAACAGAAGATTTGACTCTGGGTAGTGGGCACACAATGCAATATACAGATTATGTATCATAGATATTTGCACTTGAAACCTATATAATTTTATTAACCAATGTCACCACAATAAATTGAATGCAATACAAATAAATTTTGGACTATAAAGAGCACAAGAATGACTACTTTCTCAGCAAAGCAGAAACCCAAGTGCCTGCAGAAGTCAAGCTGTTTCCATGAACTCTCAAAAGGATCTGAACCTGGAGGCACCAAGTTCCTCTAAAATAGGGAGGTAATGGATGGCACTGAAAACAGAACTGCTTGAAAGTCTCCACAGGAAAGCTGAGTCCCTTCATCCACCTCTCTACAGCTCTGCAGGAGAACAGACTGCAGTAATGCACCTTCACAATATACAGAGTAAAATCTATAGCTGCAATAGAAGTCAGAACATAGAAACAATAATCTACCCTGTGAGAACCGTGAGACCACAATAAGCCTCTTCAACACATCCTGAAATGGAGGGTTTTTCATTAATAGTGCCCTCGGGCTCAAACAGCATGGTGACTAAATCAATATTTCTTAGAGCAAGGGCACCTGGAACTTCAGGGCACTTAGTATACACCTCCTCTCTTCCACCCCAGGACAGTCCTGTTCCTTTATGCTCGGCAGCTGCTAAAACCAGGCTCAGATACTGGCGAGGACCAGGTAGAAAGCTGCCATGGAGTTGCTGGCAAAGGGTTGTTGATGAACAAGGGAGGCAAGGGATGCTGGAGCTGGTGGGATTTGATCAACTGGGATGGGTAAAGTTTATGGCAAGAATGGAGAGAAGGATATCCAGTGTCTGTGAGAAGTAAAGAACAGTTCCTATGCAATATCAGTCAACAATGAGAGCTCATTTTTGGGTAGGGGGAGTTTGTAAATCAGGGTTGCCTCTTTGCCTTTGACATCCCTCTCCTTCTATCTTAGGCTTTTGCAGTCTATTTATTTGTCTTTGACTTTGTACATGATTAGAAAATCCACAGTGCTCCCAAAGTATATAAAAGCAAACATTTTGGTCATTATACCATTTATTTTTTTAATTAATTTTTTAAAAGTATATTTTATTGATTTTTTACAGAGAGGAAGAGAGAGGGATAGAGGGTTAGAAACATTGATAAGAGAGAATCATCAATCAGCTGCCTCTTGCGTACCCCCCACTGGGGAAGTGCCCCCAACCAAGGTACCTGCCCTTGACTGGAATTGAACCTGGGACCTTTCAGACCACAGGTCGATGTTCTATCCACTGAACCAAACCAGTTTTGGCCATTTATTTTTTTAATATATATTTTTTTTATTTATTACAGAGAGGAAGGGAGAGGGATAAAGAGCTAGAAACATCGATGAGAGAGAAAACATTGATCAGCTGCCTCCTGCAAACTCCCAACTGAGGATGTGCCCACAACCACGGTACATGCCCTTGACCGGAATCAAACCTGGGACCTTTCAGTCTGCAGGCCGACGCTCTATCCACTGAGCCAAACCGGATTCCACTATACCACTTATTTTTATTTATTTTATTTTATTTTTTATAAGTGGGAAGCTGAAGATAATCTATATATAAGTATTCATCCCTGGGGAACACATGAGCAAATTCTGGTGGTGCCCTACTGTGGACTGCTGTATGACACACAGACTCATGGGTTCCACAGGGATTTCATTTAAATACTAGTGGCCTGGTGCATGAAAATTTATGCATTGGAGGGAGTATCCCTCAGCCCAGCCTGCCCCCTCTCACAGTCCGGGAGTCCTCAGGAGCGCGAGGTGACCTGATGATCAGGGGAAGGTGATGCCCTATCACACCTCTGCTGCTGCCATTGCCGGCAGTGCAAGCCTCAGCTGGCCCTGGGTACCTAAGCTTCAGGTGGCCCTCTGCCATTGGAGGCTTGCCTGCTCCTCGAGCCAACCCTGGGCCACTGGGGAGCTGAGGGGACTGGAGGACTCTGGAGGCAGATGGTCCCTGGCCATGCTGTGTGCTTGCTGCCCAAGTGGGGCTGAGGGGACTGGGTGCCGCTATCTTGTGGCTATGGGCACCACCATCTTTGATGGGGGATAAGTCAATTAACATATTCCCTCCTTATTGGCTGTGGGCTTTGCCATCTTTTGTGATGGTGTGAAGGTCAATTAACTAACACCTTTAAAAGAAAACAAGTACCTTGAACCATCTCATTTCTAAGTTTACTTCCTTGTCTGAAATTCTATAATTCAATAATTTCAAGTTGGTTGAGACAAAATAACACTATATCTTATTCATGCTGAAAGACAAATCACAGTATTTTTATTTACATATACATCATCCTTAATCACTGCTGGAAAAACACTTTGTTTATGGGGTATATAACTATGTATATATCCCTGGGTTTAACCTCCCCCCTTTTTTTCTGGTAAATAGGAATTGTTTTTGACATTTTACATAATGATTTTCCTCATCTACAAAATTGGGATCATAACAGTAGATGCCTCAGTGGTTATTGTGAAGATTAAATGAATTATGACAAAGGTTAGCTGTTATTGATATTATATAAGGGAGCCCTTATCTGCCTTTTCTGTCACTATTTAGAATCCTAGATGATGAGCTAATGTCATATCCCTTAGAAAGAGAGAACCTGGTGACCTTTCTGTGGGAGAGACTTTATGAGGTTATGACTGGACGTTCAGAGGACATTTAGTAAGCCATTTCTTGGTCCAATGAGCCATAATGGTGTTAGTGTTAAAGGGGAGGACCCAGGTCCCAATTTATTTTTATTTGGTAACATGAAAAATTTGCTGATTGACTGGTTGTGAGGAGTGATAGAGAAGGGCAGGTTGAAGATGACATTTGGTATAGTGTTATAGATACACCACCATCGGACTAAACATGGAATTTAGGAAGAAATACATGGAGGGAAAAGATAATAAATGTACTCATACAGGAGATGTAAAAGTAGGTATCATCTAGGAAGCATTTAGAAAAGTGGGTTGTGGTTTCAGGAAAGACTAGAATTAAAGACTTAAAATATCTTTGTGCTAAAAGTCATGATATTTTAAAGCATGAAATATAGAATGTTATACTGCTAAGTTAATAGGATAATCTATTTGGCATGGGCAGTGAGAAAGTTTTCTTATTAACAATGATGATGCTAAAAGAGAATTGCTTCCTTCCCAAAAAAGGGTCACAGTCATTACGATCAGACTTCTTGAGTACAAAATTCATCTTAGCCTCTTATTAGCTCTATTTACTTAAGCAAGTAACAACTTTTCTTTGTCTTAGTTTCCCCATCTGCAAAAAGGGAGTGATTATGGTTTCTAACTCATATAGTTTTGAAGATTAAATGAGTACATATATAATATGCTTTTAGTAGCAACTATACACAGTAAGCATTAAATGAGGGTTATTCATCTTAATTACTATTAGAAAAGGCTCTTATTTAGTACATTGTCTGTCTAATGTTCAGGGCTTCAAATGCCAGTTATAACCTAAAGACTCCTAAATTCATAATCAGGTCCTGGCTTCTCTCTAAGGTCCAAGACATATAAAAATCCAAACATATTCTTAAATGTCTAATTGGCATTTCAAACTCTGTACATTCCTCTTCCACCTAACATCTGCTTGCCTGGTCAAATGTGTTTTGATCTTCCCATTCCAGTTAATGGCTTCATTCTCTACCTGTTTGTTCAAGCCCGGGTTGAAAGAAAATCTATTTGTAGAAGCCTCCCTTTTCTTCACACCACACATCCAGTTCATCATTAAGTCTCATCACCTCAGTCTGACACAATCATCTTCTTCCTAGATTATCAATACAATTCCCTAATTGGTTTCCCTGTTTTGACTCTTTGCCATTCTTATTGACCTATTAAGATATGATCATTTTGACACTGTAGATCAGATCCCTGCACGCACCCCTCCCTGAGCTTCCTATGGTAACTATAATTAATATATATGAAATTACTTAATATGCACAATATATAATAAATTACAATAAAACACACACAACTTCTTGCATGGCCTTTACTAGTAGGCATCTTTCTTAAGTCAATTTCTATCATTCTTACCCATGTTCCTTCACACAAGCACACTAGTTTTCTTTCTGTTTCTTGAGTGTCCTCTGCTCATACTCTTTCCAGGACCTTCAGCTTGGTCTTTGAATGACCGGCCCATTGTTATAAACTGAATGTTTATGTCTACCCCCAAATTGATATGTTGAAACCTAATCCCCCATGTAATGGTACTTGGAGGTGGGAACCTTTGGAAGGTGATCAGTCACACGGGCAGAGCCATCATGAATGGGGTTAGTGCCCTTACAAAGAAGACCTCATTGAGCTCCTTTGTTCCTTCGGCCTTGTGATGTTACAGCTAGAAGACAGCTTTCTACCTGCCACGAAACTGGATTTGGGCCTGAGAAGTTTATGTTGTTTATAAGTCACTTAGCCTATTGTATTCTGCTTCAGCAGTGCAAGTGACCTAAGATACTTTACCTCATCATTTACCTTTGCAAAGTCACCTTCCCCAGACAGTCTAGCTAATACTCTCCTCCTGTCCCCCACTTTGTAGTCATTCTCTATCCTGTTATCCTGCTTTATTTAATAGCAGTAATCACCATCTGTTACCTTATTTTTAGAGTTTGTTTACATCTCTACTACCTGTTCTATACCCCCATAGAGCAGCGACTTTCAACCAGTGTGCCACAAGAATTTTAAAAAAACAATATCTGGCTATTTATGGGCACTGACCTCTTTCCCCTTAGGTCAGTGGTCAGCAAACTGCGGCTCGCAAGCCACATGCGGCTCACGAGCCGCGGCTTGCTGCTCTGTTGACTAATGAGTTTGCCGACCACTGCCTTAGGTTGTCAAAATAATGACAACAGCCAACAACAGTAGCCATCCATTGTGAATGAATCAAAATTTACCTGTTTTTTTTTCAGATCAGCAAAATATATACTTTTTAGTGTACTGCATAATTTTACTAACTCTTTTATGCGTGTCATGAGACGGAAAAGGTCAAAAATTGCTGCTGAGGAGTATAATCTCAAACAGGGCTTAATCTATCTTATTTATCTCTCCTTTCTCTACAACAACAAAGTGCTCAAACTTTGTTGTTGAATGAATGTTTTGAGATTGGACAGCGAGCTCACAACAATTTACTTTTACTTTTAGGTAGGGAATAAAATAGAGTGCATTTTTTACATAATTTTTCAAGGTTTACATTTCTTCTGGTATGAAAAACTTCATTTATACTTCAGATTTTTTTTTTAATTTTCTGTAGCTGTTTAGTTTTGTTACTGCAAAATACCTGATGGATTGTGAACTCCTTTTACATATATTTTACTTATACTTTCAAAAACTGTTTTAACTTTTCATTTACATTAGTCTAGTGGTCTGAGAAAAAATTATTATCTGATATTACAGTAATTTATATATTTCAGTCCCTGCTACAGAGGAAGGAAAAAAATAGACCCATTTAAGAGAATGTAGCTTACCAATGGTAGAAGGCTTTAAGAATCCAGTTCTAATCTACTAATTCAGTCTCACTAAAAGGGCAGTTTTTTTTTGTTTTGTTTTGTTTTGTTTTTTAGAGGGGGACCATTCTTTGTCATTAATTTATTCATTTCTACATTATTTAGTAGACACCTAAATAACCACCTATATTAGGTGGTTAAGGAAACAACGATGATACCCCTGCAATTGAGAGACTTTTTTGGATGGTATTTATGTCTTCTCTATGAGGAATATACATGGAAATCCTAAAAGTGCAATGTAATAAGTACTTCAGTGATTGTACACTTTTTCAGTAAGTGTAACTATTCAGTAAATTTCAGAGTTTTCTGGAGTTCTATCACATTTATGGATTATCTTAATACATGGCAAAATCTTTTCAAACCAGAGAAGATTCTTCAATGTATTAAGTGTTTAATCATTTCAGGAGAAACTACAGACTATAAATGCTAAATCCCAAGGCCATTCTGAAGAAAAAAAAATTACATTTGTACCAGTTAGATAGGAAAGCTAGGAGTGGGGGTGGGTAAGGAACACTGAATTTAGAATTAGAAAATTTGGACACTAATCTCAGCTTTAAATAGTTGTGTTATTTTAAGAAAATTCTTTAAACCAAGGCTTCAGTTTAGAATAAACTCTTCAGAAAACTGTCTAGAATAAAGGCTAGATATTCTTAAAGGTCCATTCCAGCCGCAGAATATGAGAATATTAAACTTACTTTGATGGATAGCTTTTCAGGACAATATTGAGATTCATCTCCATTAATCATTAAAGACCAGCATGGAAATTGGAAGTTATTTCTGGTCTACTAAAAGTGACTCAGCAGCAGACTTCTTTTCAACTCAAAGGGTTAAACACACTTTGGTTATAGAATTATGAGTATGTATGTGTGAGAGAAAGGAGAGTTTAGATAAGCCATACTTGTCAAAAATGATAAAAAAGAATGAATGCACATATATGACAATCATTGATTTATAGTGGCAAGTGTTAGAGCTAAAAATGAAGTGCTTTGATTGCTATGAAACAGCTAGAGGTGCTTTTTGGGAGGCTGTGAAGCCTTGTGCTAAGGAATATCCCACACTACAAAGAACCAGGTAACTATCATTTTGTCCCAGTGCCACTACATTGCTTAGAATAAAAAACAAAACAAAAATAGACTGCAAGTTAAACAGATTCCACTACTGCCAAGATTCCTATGACTACTCATCCCAGGGCAATCAGTTTAGAGCAGGGCTCCTCCAACTAACTCTTTGTGCGCTAAATACTTGATTACTACTGGGCTAAATAACTACTGGTTTAAGACTAAAGATGCATTTCACTGTCTCTGTGTATATGTGACTGGATGAATACAGGACAGGTTATTTTAACATTATTTATTTACACATTACCTAGTAAGTGATTAAGAGGTAATTCTCACAACGCCTGGCCTCAAATCTGTCTTGATTTTACTTCCTTGGACTTTCTTATTAACTGTTAATAAGATAAATGCTTAGATATGTCAATTAGCAGAATTTTATTTTAGCTATTCCTGAATTTGAGGTCCAAAACTTTCAGAAACAGAACAGCTGTCTTCTTGTGGTATAGACCATATTTCTGTGTTTTCTGTTACCACTATCCACATTTATAGGATCTCTTCTGTTTTCCATGAGGCTTTTCTAGTTTTTGCATTTATTACACATATTTTAAAAGGTAACTGCATAATTGTGTCAGCATTAGTGAAACTAGGTTCTTAAAAGTCAAGGTTTCAGTTATAGACATATATGAAATGTCAAACTTGCGTCTTTAAGAAAGAATTTATACTGATGTAATCAGTATACTTACATCAACGATCAAGAAATCTAGCCAGCACCAGGCATTCGTGAAATATGTTTGAAATCCATAAGCTACCCATTTGAGAAGCATCTCCAGGATGAATATATAAGTGAACACCTTGTCAGCATATTCGAGCATGGTTTTGATAGTCTTTCTTTGTTCAATGTATATATCCTCAAAAGCCTGTGAATGAAGAATTTTATTTGAATGGCTTGAGTTCCCCATATATTTGATAAAATTGCTTAGTATAATACTGGTCACACAGCAATATTTTGATAAGTATTAGCTAATATCAGACAAACATCAGACATCTGGCAAAATTTAAAAATTAAAACTAATGGAAAATATGGTCAAATAAATGTCAATATCTTTACTGATTTAGTATGTGCTTTCTTCCTTGCTTTTTATACCAAATCTCTATCTCAATTACTGCTACAAAGACATGCTTATAGAAAAGTAATATAAACTGAGAAGAATAATTAGAAGTTTTATTAATGAGGGAAAGACTTGACTTATTCCAACATGACCTTGAATGTTTCCCTGAAAAATCTGGTTTATTTTGAAAGAATAAATTGATTAGACATAAAGAAATCAAGATACATTTTTTTTTTATTTCCTAAATGTTAATCTGATTATTAGGGACAAGTGGATGGTATTTGATATGGAAGGTAACATAGTTACAGAACGTCTCTGGAAATGGTTTTCTCAGTGAGGAGAACATCTGTTAGATAAACACCAGATGAGGAAGTCCATCTGGCTCTTTATGGTCCTGATTTATTCTGTACTGAGTTTTGCATAGTTAAACCCTAGATGCCAAGCTCTGCAAGGCAGAGATATATCTCATTTGCATTTTTTAGTTTTAAATTTTTCTTGACTTCTGAGAGAAAGGGAGAGGGAGAAAGAGAGAGAGAAACATCAATGATGAGAGAGAATCACAGATTGGCTACCTCCTGCATGCCCCCCATCAGGGGACTGAGTCCACAACTCAGGCATGTGCCTGGATAAGGAATTGAACAGTGACTTCCTGGTTCATAGGTAGACGCTCAATCACTGAGCTACTCTGGCTAGGCCTCATTTGTTTTTTAAACTCAGTGTATGCTTTTGGTATTTTTGGAGAATAAGCTATTTTACTAAGACCTGATTCTTGCCAGCATGCATTTGACTTACCAAAGCACCACTACTAAGGAGGATCATGAAGACAATGAAAGTCTCAAACCAGTTGTGTTCAACAATGCTGTAGCAGGTTTTTCGAAGATTCCACCAGACCTTTCCTTTGCCTTCTTCTGTACTTACTTGACAGAACGGAAACTTTTTAATACACCCTAAAAGGTAAGAGTCAATGAAATAAGTTAGAAAAATATATTGTACTCTTGATTAGGGAAAAATAAATTTTGTTACTCTCATCTCAGTTTTAAATCATCATTTTATAGGGTAACTGGTTACTTCATTACCTAGTTATTTTCAGCACCTCTCCAGTATCACGAATCATCAACTCCTAGAATTTAAGGAATTACTTTATCAAAAGTTACTTAAGTATAAGTGGTTTTGTTCTTTAACACTGGTTAGGATCTCTCTTTGTCTCGAGGCCGTTGATGAAAATAGCGCTTCTCAGGATTTGGGAAAAGCTACACGTTCAAATTGCTTATTCCTTTTTTGATGTGATCCTGGATTTTCATTTCCCTCTTTTCATGCACGGAAAATCCCTCCATGTTCTCCGGTATCAGCCACTGTCAGTTTTCCCAAGCTAATTAATTTTCAGCTAAGTGCTTTTCTTAGTCACACCTATGACTCATCTTGTAGGTCAGTATCTCCATTTCTTTGTCTTCCCCCCTTCTTTGAGTTCATGTTACTGTATTTCTAACTTCCATATGCTTTTCTGCTCTAAATCTCTGAGCTTCTACTCATCAGATTTAACCAGCAAATCTCCACTGATTTATAAACAAGATGCCGTAGGGATTGCTGTGAGAACAAGTACTGTTATCTCTCTACAATACAGCTACAGCCCCAAACAGCTCATTCTGGTCACAGCACAAATTAAGCACATTTGAAACTGTAAGGGATGGGGTGTAATTAAATTTATTTATTTTGTTAATCCTCACCCCAGGATATTTTTCATTGATTTTTAGGGAGAGTGGAAGAGAGAGGGAAAGAAAGAGAGAGAGAGAGAAACATAGATGTGAGAGAAACACATCAATTGGTTGCCTCTTGCATGAGCTCCTACCAAGGCCCATCCGGGAGGAGCTTACAACCAAGATACATGCCCTTGACTGGAATTGAACCCGGTTGCTCTATCCATTGAGCTAAACCGGCCATTGCTGGATAGGGTGTAATTACAGCCACAGCTACAAATCAAATCACCACACTAACAATGGAGTCTGAAGCCATTGCTGTATCAATGAGATGACATTCCAGAATGCCATTTATCTCATCTCATAAGGTTAACTTTTCCACATTCTGGAGAGGGGTGGGGTGGGGGGAAGAAGACTTGTGAAATCATCCTAATTGCACAGGCATGGCCACTGCTATAATACAATCTGGAAATATAGATAAATTAACTTTTTGGAAGAAAAGAGGAAAACAAGATAAACATGCCTTCACCATTTCTTTGAAATATTTCTGTCCAATGAGGTCTATCCAGTCTGTAAGGAAAGAAGGGAGATTACATTTAATCGCATTAGAGCTTGTTTACCTTCAGTGAAACAAGCTTCTGGTTTAAGGTCTTCTTCTGGCTCAACTTCAGCTAGTTCACCTTCTCGGGGCGGAGCAACGTCAACGGTGCTTCCTTCAGATGAGCTGGTTCCATTTAATTTCTGGAAACAAAACCCCATCGCAAAGATGTCATTCCCCTCCCCTTTTATTAATTTGGAAAGCTCTGTCATAGTGTGGGAAAAAAAATATTGTGAAAAAAATGGTATTTGACTCTATTAACATTACTGATAATTACATACTAATAATTTAACATAAATTAAAGTCCTATTCAAAACACTGTAACTACGGACTTAATTCAGACAAAATAAAGTTTAGACAGCATTCAATGTGGGTGACTGGGAAAGATGGATTATACCGATTAACGAGTTTTATGATCTCCATATATGATTGCCACATGAAAAGCATTTAATTCATCAATACTCAGGCCAATTCAAGAATAGCTTGATAAAAGTTTGGTATGCTGGCATCTACTATTGATTATATTAATTAAAATGTATCAAGTCAAATTGTAATTTCCACCTCTTCCAATGGAAATTTTCAGAGGGCAAAGAACATTACCAGTTGTCTGTACTACTGTCCATGTTTCTTTATTTTTAGAAAGGAAGAAAGGCTCATTAACATCAGTCAAAGTCATTATACTTCAATTTCGAGCTATATTTTTCTCTGACTTACATAATTTTCTTCCTATTTTACTTCTTTACTAGCAGAAAAATGATCTCTTTCTCTCTCTTTCTCTCTCCTATTTAATATTTGCTAAAGATTTCTAAGTGGAAATTTCTTCGTAAATGACATTGTTCAGAATTTATTTTGACTTATTAGGAGCACATTCTTAATTCAACATGCAATCAGTTTGTGGATCTTTCCATGAAATAAATCACTATGACATGCTACATGGCTAGGAAGAACCACTTTAATGTTACAATAATAAATATCTAGTAAGTACTCTGAGGTCACTTAGGAAGACATGGATGTGCAACAATTTATGAAAACTGATGCAAAGACATGACATACAGCACAACCTAGGCAATGTAAAGCTTTCAGAATGAAAGATCGGTGCATGGATATGATAATGGTTTCAAAGCCTCCATTATCTTTAGTAGCTAAGTGGAAGGGTCACTCTGCCCTAGCCTTCTGAAAGAGTTCATGTGTCACTAAAATAGGCCTAAATGTCTTCCTAAGCACAGGAGAAAAATGGATTAAAAATTCTTGATTTATTGAAATCACAAAATGCAACTATAGTTTGATATGTTATAATGTGACCTAATTGAAGAGTAGTTTCTAGATGATACTTTTTGTTATGTTACTTTAAGGGTGAAGTTAACCAGGTGCAACTAAATAGTAGAAAAATTGCAGTCAAAATATAATGAAAATTAAGTCAAAATATAATTCTATAATAAAATACCTCCTATCCTGAAGTATGGTACAGAGAGAAGGGAGGCCATCATTTTGGCTGGTGGTTCACAGGATTATTTTAGTACAAGAGTGGTAGCAAGAATATCATAATTGCATAATATGATAACATCACAACTGCATACAAAAACCAGTAAGAAAACAAGTATTTTTGAGATTACTTATAAAAAGTTTCATGCTTCTTCCTCTTGGCCAGTCCAAGCTCAATGATTTCTTTTGAGCCTGGTCATAGTCCACCTCACTGAAGCCTTTATTTCTTACATGATTTATCCACACTAAATTTTATGGAATGGTTAGTTCAGTTTACTTGTTTGTTTTCACCACACATGTTTTATATATATATATATATATATATATATATATATATATATATATATATATATATCTCCATAGATAAAATTATGATTTATGTACATATATAAACATATATACCAAAATGTACACACACACACACACGCACATATATATTATACCAGACAATCCAAGTACAAAATAGATAATACCATTGTTGAGTTAATGAAGAGTGAATAGATGAATAATTATATTTCTGTTTTACTCTTTTTCTTAATGTATTTTTATTGATTTCAGAGAGGAAGGGAGAGGGATATATATATATATATATATATATATATATATATATATATATACACACACACACATACACACACAGAGAGAGAGAGAGAGAGAGAGAGAGAGAGAGAGAGAGAGAGAGAAACATCAGTGATCAATTGGCTGCCCCCTGCATAACCCTGACAAGATATCAAGCCCACAATTGGCATGTGACCTGAATTGGAACCGAATTGTGACCTCCTGGATCACAGGTCAACATTCAACCACTGAGCTGCACCAGCTGGGCTGTGTTACTCTTATTAATAGAATTATATTTAGATAATTTCATCTCTTCATTTTGATAATTATTGTATTAACAGAGCTTATTTAATTGTATTAGGAAACACATTTTTTCTGCATTAATAAGAATTATTTAATTAACATTTTAGTGATAAAAACATATTTCAAAAATGTTTCTCTAAAATATTGGCAGACACTCAATAAAGAAATCTGAGAGAAGAAATTAATAGTATAGATGTACTAGTATATACCCCCATTAATACACATGTACTTTCCTCTTTGAAAACTTTAGGAAATATACTCACCCTTCACTTCTCATCTTAGCACTGTTGATATGATTCTAAGATGTTTATTGTTTTTCATAATATTTGTCTGCTATATATTATGTCTTATATTTAAATACAAACGTATTTAAAGCAAACTCTTCACAGCACCAGTAATAGTTGCTGCTAATCTGAGTGACAACTGAATCTACTCTTTAGTAAGTTTTGACCTCTATACATATTTTTGATATGGTACTGTCTTTGGATTATAAACGTTGGTGAATGTGATTGACATGTTTGGATACAAATAATTTTAATTTTCTAAGTGGCTCTAGAGACTATGCATTCAAAATCATAATATAAAGAGGTTCAGTAGTGAATTAGTTAATCTCTATCTGCTTGGTATAGTGAGACATAACATGTGTTTTGAAAAAAGAAAAGAAAAAAATCCTGCATGCTTTCTCTTCTCAAACCTATTTTACAACAAGAATCGCTTCACTGTAATCCAGGAGTTTTCTGATTCTAAGGACAAGTTCTTTAAACTTACAATCTGTAAAGCTCCTTAAGGAATGTTCAGAGATCTGTAGACCAGCATGCACCAAAGCTTCAAAATTGGTAGGTTAGTGTTCATTTCACTAAAAAGTGTCCCGTGGGAAGCTCCTTCCCTTATCCAGGTTGCTGTAAGTTTAATTCTTCTTAAATTGAAGAATCAGGCTGATTCATATTATAATCTTCATAGGCCACAATTTTTCCATAGGAAAGTTGATAAAACTATATCAACTACATAAAATTTTAAAAGTTGAAATTTACCTGCATGTACAAATTAAAGCTTAGACTGTCATTAGATTATAACAACTTACCGATTATGATATACTTCCTTATATGCTCTATTCACTGGATCCATAAAGAATTTTATTGCTGAGTTTTTAAACCATTGTTTTATACTTCAGAAAACTAGTTAAGCATTTAAAATTCTATACATTGAGAAAACTACCTACATAATCTAAACATTTTCTAAGTTCAACACTTTGACATTCATACTCTGGTAGAGGGTAGTTTATAATACATTTGATCTTGGCCAAACCCAAATGATGTCCCAGATGGCTATTTAAACACATGTAACTGATTTAAAAGCAAGTGAATGGTGATAAATACGAAGAACTTACTTTCTCTATATTGCCATAGCTGTGGTACTACAACGATATAAAAACAAAACAACAACAAAAAAAACAAAGAAAACCTGAAATGAATTTTTTCATATTAAGGAACTTGTTGACTGTACTAACTAACTAAAATCAATACTTGTTTTGATGTAGTTTGAAAACATGATTAGCTCTATAGGCATAATGATGCAATGCTTATGCTTTCATATAAAGCCACATAGTACAAGCTCAGACTTGTTTTCTTGTACTATTTTCTTCCTGCTCCTCCGATACTGTATGGCACTTTAGGTCAGACTCTTCCATCCCTTGTAGAAATTACTGAGTCTACAGAGGGATGATGGCTTAGGCTGTACGAATGCACACTGGAAAGCAGGTTTTTAGATGCAACATTCTCCAGGCCTAATTCAGCCGCAGAACACATGCCTGGCTGTAGCAGAAGCCTGGCGCAATGCTGTGGAAGCTGCACGCTGATCCAAGAACCATGCGCTCAAAGACATGGTACCTGAACATGAAGTTTTCAGGAAGATGAATTACAAATACCACTCATCAGAAACACCAGAATCAGCACCCAGGAAAGCCATGAGACCATGTTTTCCCCCTGAGAGCATGAACTTATATAGGAATCCTCCCCTTATGATGAATATTCCTCTTGATTTTTACCCAATTTAATGATGAAATTTAACTTTCAGAGATAGAAGAGAATGTTAGCAACTGGCCTACTTCCACTGAAATGCGCTCACATTTCATTTGTTTTCAGTCAGCTGTCAAATGCTTGACTCTCACAAACTGCTGTATGATTCAAGAGGCAAAAATAAAAGATTCAGCCATTACAGATTGCCTTTAAAATCTAGCCATTGATCTCAGAGCTTCTGGGTTTTGTCTTGCAAGTAGAAGAGGAAAATTGTTTGGTCAGACATACTATCAGGGCCTTAGTCTGATCTTTTGGATATGCGTATCCATATCTTGACTGAGGACATTTCACTTGAAGAACAGGTAGCCACATAGTTGAGACCATTGGGTTGCTTATTCAAGACAGGAATTACACAACTAAAACCAATACTTCTCTTTGATGGACCATTTATTGAATGGTTAAAAATATAAATCACTTGTATTTGGTTTGGCCTCAACATATTTAAGATATGCAATGCCCTCTGTACTCCTTTTATCTTAAAGTAGCCTTATTAAGGACATAATATATGAAACTGAAAACAATTATGTGGTAATTGAAGAGTAAGGTAAAGGGCATTCAGAAAGCAGAAGAAAAGGCTGGTTTATCTTGAGAAGATATACAAAAATTACCATCTAAACCAGCCTTCATTGAGTAATTTCAGCACCAAAACAGTTCTCTAAGGGGTTTAAAATGGCTATTCACACACCCATCTGTGCCTCTGTAAGAGATTCCTCACACTCAGATTC